AAAAAAAAAAAAACCCAAACATTTTAGTTCTCTAGATTGTACACTGAACTTTTCTCAATTTCAGCTTCTTTGGAGGAGAGGGTGGCCTACCCTCAAGCCATGTGAATTTCTTTTATTTCTCTTTGTTAGTTCATCGTCTTTTACTTCTATTCAAATTCTCTTTCTTTCCAAAAGCCAACACATCAAAATAGATCAACAAAAAATTATCCAATGGTAACTTGAGGGAGAAAAAGGTAAAATAAAGACACCTTTTTTTCAGGCGTGAGCAGTTGTTGCTGAGTGATTGCAGACATGCTAATCAGAGTCTGGAGGCAAGATGGAAGATCACATGACAACATCAGCGACAATCAGAGCCAAAGACGAATACATGATCACATAGAGACAGATGGAGAAAAGTCTATTATTACTAATACCACAGATGAGAAAATAAATATAAATAAATAAAAATAAAAAGCACAGTTCTTGAAGGAGGCCAGGCTGTTTTGCTCCCATACACCTGTTTGCAAACATGTTCCCTTAAAAAGTACTAGAGGCTAGTAAATTGATGCACCACACATATTTTAACAACACACTAACATCTGATCTTATGACTGCTATGAATGGGTTGTAAAAATCTTTTACAATATTTTACGTAAGTATTCACATATGTTTGTTGCCTGGATTCATTACCATCAATAACTATTTTTTTCCTTCTTGCCTTAACTTATTCCAAAACAAATTGATTGTGTTTCCTGTCTTCTAGAATAAAATACACATTTTAATTTTGTTCATATTGTTCAGGTGTGTGGGAATGTTGCCAACAGCCCCTTAAACTGTGGAAACAGAAAACCAAACAGATCAGAAAGAGAGGTTGTAAATTCTACTGCCTGTTGGTTTGTTGCATTAGCTTACACAAGAAATCACATATAGTCCTGCTCTTCTATGAGAGACAGAAGCAGTAGCTTTTGAACTGCTACTGTACCGCTTTACCTATATATATATATATTGCATGCAACATGCAAAGAGGAACAATAAAAGAGCGATGGGGAAGAGAAGTCATAAAACCTCTATTATGAAACATAATAAAAAAAACTTGAAAAGTGTGGATTTCATTGGCAACTATGTGAATAGAACTAGAAAATTAATAATGTATAATGGGAAAACAAGTCATAGAAAAATCAAAATGTTTAAGGCATACAATGAGTGGGAGGGGTAGGAACAAAAGAATGAGCTTTGTACATTTATTAAAGTCAACGTTGGATGTATAAAACCATTTTAAATAAGAATGGCAAAGCCTTTTATGTGGTTCTGAATGATATGAATAGTCCACAGAGTTTGACACATGTGAGATGTAGCTTATCAAAATGACAGTGGAGTAAAGATGTAATAAACCACTTTCTACTGCCACTTGAAGCATACACATTGATAACAATTCAACAATAGCAATTCAAGATGATTTCAAAGCTTCACGACCACATCAAGATTGTCATGTGTATGAATAGATCTCGCATAAAACTCCAAGCCTCAATAAAGAAGTTCAATTTTTATCACTATATATATGACTGATTAGGACTACACAATATTACACTATAGTTGAGTGTTAGTGCTACCAAACTCCAAATTGTGGTTAATCTTAGCTATGTTTAATTAAAATGCTACATTTAATCCACACTTTATAAATATGGTTTTTTTTAATGAACCATTATTATTATTAAACACAGTTTGAATCTGAATAACAAGCTAAACTGTAGGCAATCAAAAACAGAAGACAATTCTAAGGTTGGTCTGATGATCAATTGTAGTTTAACATTATGTTTGACCACAATTTTCATTTTATGGTGCATACGTTATACCTTTCTGGGGTACACATTTTTTTACTCTGAAGTTTAATATACCATTATTGGAAACACCATATAAATCAATTGCATAAATAAATATCCATCAGGTTGTTCCAAAAACATAGGAGTAAATTAATATAGGAGAATGGTGAAATGACAAGTTATAGGCCAAAATTGGATAAATTGAAAAAAGCAGAAGTTGTTTTACTGTCTTTACAAAATTTTATGATGGTTACCCAAGTGTTTTAGACATGCAGCCCTTTTCCAGCTATTTTTCTTTCTCATCTAATACAGCACTGGGGGCAAAATCATTACTAACTCACCAAATATTTTATAGCTGACTAACCTAGTTCTGACCTTTTAAAAAAAAATCAATTATTAAGTATTAAAGTGATTGTTCCATTTTACAGTAACTGTCTTTCCTGTTGGTTTTCTCTCTCTTCAAATTACCACATTTTCTGATTTCAAAAGAACACAGTATATTTCTAGAACATAATTCACAAGAAAAAAAAAGTCTGTGTACCTTCATGAAACAAGCAATATAAAATAAATTGATTCTTGGTGGGGGAAGACAATTACTATTTTGTGAAAATTGGGAGAAATGAAAAGGAAGGAAGAAAAGTATTACACAAGATGTTTGTTCCAAATCTAATAAGAACCAGGATTTCTCATCTCCTTCTCTAAATACATCTTCTACATTCCAGTAGCTCTTCAAGGCAAGCTATTTTTTGAAGTAACTGTTCATTTGGGGATCAGAAATTAGAAGGAACCTCAATAAGTAGCCAGAGCCTCCTTGTTCTAATACTAACACTATTTCATTACTAATTTTCTCTAATATACACCTCCAATGCTCACAGAGATTTTCCTTCACAAGTGGTAAAATGATGATTGTGGAATTATAACCATCTTTGAGCCTGGACCTATTAAACTCTGGTCCAAGTTGCTGTTGTCCCAACACTCTCATCTTAGTTTTAAACTCCTCTTAACCATACTCACCAGAACATTAACTTACCTGCTTCAGATGCTTTTTCAGTTCTAAAACTTCCGGTTCTGGCAAAACAGGCAGTAATTCAGCATTTGTAGGAACAATGATCTGAAATTAAAATTTAAAAATAACATTGCACCAAGGAAATTCCTTGAGTGAATTTCTTTTATGTACATGCTCAATTAACAACTCATGCATGGGAATCTATGTTCCAGATCAGTATGACAAAGAGAATCAAATAATCTATCAAATATTGGTGATCAGGAAATTGTTGTTTTAGAAGCAGGAGAGAACAGGTATCTGTGTTAGTAAAAGCAATGG